CTCCCTACCCCCCCCCCCAGCGCCTAACCCTAATCCCCCCATTCCTCCAGTCCGGGATGCATACAGCAGCTGTCGAGTTTCATTTAGAGGAGAAGCTGGCTGCTGGCAGCTTGCGCTGATTGGAAGCAGTCAAACGAGTTTTCAATGCGGGGAAATCATTAAGTTAACACTTTATCTAATGTCCCTATTGTCAGCTGGGGAAGCATTGTTTTAGAATTCCCTCCCCACCCCACCCGCCGCCGGGGAAAAGAGAGCTCGGTCTGCAAGCGTCTCGCGCTGCTTCCTCCCCACCCCCGCTTCCCCCCAATCCATAAGGGCGCCTTTCCTTCGACCTCAACACACTCCCCGCATTCATCTTCCGGCCTTTGGGGAAGATGAGACTAGAAGAAGCTCTCCTTGGCAGAGTCGCATTTTCTTGCCTCGGAGGCAGCCTCCGCAGGCGGTGGCAGCATCAACGACGAAGGCGAGCGCGTTTTCCTTGGCACAAACTTGGGACCCTCACGTTCGAGAAAACTCCTTAATTTTAAAGGTGCCGCCAGACTCAGTTGCCTCTAATTTTCTTGGATCTCGTTTGGGGGGAGGGGGGTGATGGCCTTCGACCTAACATTTCAAGTTGTAGACTTTATGCGACCATTTTATTACCGACCTTTGCAGCAGGGCTTGGTAGAGGCGGGCTAGTCCGCTGCACCCAAGACAAGGAAGAGTCCCGTGACACCTTGAAGCAAAAATCCGACCCACCAAGAGGCCTACATGTGCGGAAGATTGCGGCCAAATACGTCTTTTAAAAGACGGCGCTGGGTGTCGGTGGCTTTTGCGGTCATCGTGTCTCGGTCTGAGGTGGGCGGATCAAGATCCCAAGCTGCAAGACTGCAGTCGTTGGGTGCACGTTACTTAGGGACTGGGACTCTTACCTGCGTTGGACGGTGGAGGGAGGCTCTCCTTCTCCTTTGGTTACTCGCCTGGGAGGAAACCTCCCTGAGCTGAATGGTCTCCGAGGGATTAGGCGCAAGTAGCCTTCCCAGGGCCACTGACTTTTTGGTAAACGACACGACATGCACCGAAGGGGCTCGAAGGCTCTCATGCTAACCCAACTTTTAGGCTCCCGTTTCCAGAGATGCCCAAGTGCTTTTGAGTGAACGAGTGCCCAGTTTTACTCCCTTCAGTATCTTCGTTCCTGGGCGTCGGGATGGGTTTTGCTCTCCTGTAAGCACCTGCATGATTGCAGCCTTTGGAGCACGTCCGTTGGAGTTTATAAAACTGACACTACAACCTGCATCTGCCCTGATGCTCAAAGCGTCCCCGAGGCCCGGTTTTCAGCGGGATGCCTTTCAGGTGCCTTTTCCATGTCCCAACTTCGAGGGGAACGGAATACTTTCCATAGCCGCGGACTTCGCTTGTCCCCTTTGCCGCTAGAAATAGACTTTTGAGAAGTGCCAGTAAAGTCAGTGATTTACTCCCAGGAAAATAAAAGTGGGATCGGGGTTTTGAAGAATATAAAGTACCCAGAAGAAGGAAGGGTAGATTCTCGAGGGTTTAGTGTCTGTCTTAACCGAACCTAAGGGATACAGAAACATTCAAGGCAAAGCGAGTTTCGGCACTTGGGTGGGAGAAGAAAGGAGGTCCATAAAGGGGAGGAGAGAAATCGCTCTGTAGTAGCTCCATGTCTGTTTTGAAAGTAGCTGTGGAAAAGCTAACAGAGGTGGGGAGGCGACACGCCTTACTGGAAAGGAAGCGCCACTTAATTTTTGACCCTAAGCACTGTTATTTCGGAGAATTGTATAGTTAGGTTAGGCTTGGTAGAGACCGCATGCCTGGAAGTGTGGCTCAGCCACGCTAGACTCGCCTTCAGGAAGATTCCTCCGGTGGGCTAGAGACACATTTAATACCCGTCTCCAATCCTAAATTTCCTAGCGGATTCCAGTGACCGTAATGGTTCATTACATTTTTCGGGCACCTTTAAAAACAAAAACGAGACCCAGAGTGTCTGCCAGCAACCAAACCAAACATTTTTTCAAAAACTAATGCTAAAAAAGGATGATGGCTGTGACGTCTACACCGCTCCGTAAGAATGAAAACGGAGCCTCGAAGGAAAGTTTGGGGCAGTCCCAGGTGGGCTGCTAAACTTCACCCGAAAGGAAATCCTTCGAACAGAACCTTGTTGAGCTGAGGTTATGCCTCGATGGGGTTGTGGTGTTGTTGTTGTTGTTTCCCTGACAGATTATGGTGTTCAAGAAGTGGAGGCAGAGCACTTGGGCTTTCGGAGGCGTTGGGGGTCCCCAAAACAGAAAGTAAAGGCGTGGCCTCTGAGTCGTAGAAACGAAAAAACCGGTCTCTGCCCGCCTTTGAAGGCAGAACTTTGCATGCTTCAAGCCGCCTAGAGTGGTCGTATAGACCAGATGGGCGGGATACAAATCAAATAAATAAATGAATAAGTAAAATATGCTCAGCGCAGCCCTAAGAGGACAAGACCAGAACCAGTGAGTGGAGATTGGGAGGAAACAGCTTTCTCTTGGCACTTAGGATCCAGCCTTCCAAACGTGAATGAGAGTTCCTGAGCTCCTCAAGACGTTCTGCTGCCTGAATAAAAATCGTTGTCTACCCTCATGTCAATTCTGACCTAGGGTGACCTTCTTCAGCGTTTTCTAGGGAGAGAGTGCAGCAGAGAGTACTACTCAGAAGTGGTTTCCCATTCCCTTCTTCTGGAGGTCCCCGGGACTGTGCAGTCTGCCCAAGGCCACACAGGCTGGCTCTTCTCTCAGGAGGCACAGCGGGGAATTGAGCTTCTGACCATACCTAATTCACGGAGCTATCCAGTCATCCTGCACCCTCTCACACTGCCACCCCATCCTGACAGGTGGGGCAGCGGTGTGAGTGAGTGCAGGCTTTACTGCTCCACAACTGAGGCTCTGCCCCTACCTAGATGAAGAAGCCCCCAGGACATTGATTCATTCATGTGTTGGTGATCTCCAGGACTGATTACTGTAATGGTGCTTGTGCTCTCTAGGTGGGGTTTCCCTTAGAAGGCTGGCCTCGAGACTGCAGCGGGTCCAGAACACCAGGCTGGTGGCAGGTGTGGGCAGATTTAATTATATCTCCCCACTCCTGGCTCACTTGCACTGGCCTCCAGTATTGATACTAGCTTATAAAACTCTATGTTTTAAAACCCTATGCTTATAAAACCATGTTCTGTCCCAAAGTCATCTATCTGCCCATGCCACTAGGTCGTCTCAGGCTATGCTCCTCTGGGTGGCTATGCCGAAGGAGGCCAGGAAATCTTTCACAAGAAATCAGGTGTTCTCAGTGGTGGCGCGCGTGCACGCGCACACACACACACACACAGACACACCCTTTGGAATTGGCTCCCTATGGAGCAATGTCTAGCTCCCTCCCATCCTAATTTTAGGAAGCTGTTGAAGACACTTCTTTGCTTTCAAAGGCAGCCTCTTTTGAACTTTTCCACCTCTGTTCCACCACTCTAACTCTTGGCACCATCCACGCTTACAGCGGTTTTTTTGCCATTGTTTTATTCCTCATTGGGGTTCTCATTTATTTTGTTGTCTGCAAACTGTCCAAAATCGTGCTGTGCACTAGTGAGGTAGTATAGAAGGTCCATAAATAAATAACAGGTGGTAACCCCAGCCAACCAGACTTACTTTGGCACATGAGGCAGAAAATTGCACAAGGGCCTCTGCCCCCTCTCTGGCCTTAAATGGCGAAGTAACAACACATTAAAGAGCTAGCCTTTTGCTATCATTTCATGACAATCCTAATCTGAGGAGGCCAAGCAAACCTGAATGTAGTGGATCCGCTCTAATGGGAGGCATGTAAGCAGAGTGTGAATGACTCAGGGATGGCTGTGTTTTCATTCTGCATGGTAGGCAGAGTCTGGAGCTGTTAAAAGTTGCTTATCTGGATTACTGGTTCCCAAACTTCCTATCTTCCTATCTTGGGATTTTGGGAGCTGTAATCTAAAACATACATTTTCCAAGATCTGGGGAGGTTTGGATTAGGTCACCCATAAGGTCCTTTTCAATTGTACCATTCTATATTTGTGTGTGTGTGTGTGTGTTTGCTTAAAAGAAAACTGCAGGTCTCAGTGGACTTACTAGCAACACCTATGCATGTATACTAACCAGGAAGTTCCCCTGCATTAGAGTACATTTAAAGTATATAGAACTACAGCCTAAGGCTGTGAACACAACATCCTGTGAATAAATCACATTGAATGCAGTGGGGTTTATTTCTGAGTAACCCCCAAAAAATGGCCTGTAAAATACTAGTGTTTGCTTAAGTTAAAGCTCTTGCCAATTATTTTCAGCTAGGGTTGAAACTTGAAGACTGCAGCCCTGAACAAGCTTACTCAAAAGTAAATTCCAACAACATAGGTGGGGCTCAATTCTAAGTGCATATTGCTGCAGATATGGTTGTAGCAGTTCAGCGCTGTGTGAGATGTAGAACTGGAACAGAGAACAGGAAGGCTTGAATCCCCACTCAGAGCTTGTTGGATGGCCCTCAGCCAGTCCCCATTTTTCAGTGTAACCTACAGCTGAGCCCAAAGATAATGATCCAGTGCTGTCTCTTAGACTGCTTGTAGGAAACACAAATTACCTGAGCTCAACTACAGTATTTGAGTTCAATTTGGTGCTACTTCATAGTCTGTTAGTAATCCTGTACACACTTAATTTGGCGGCCATCCCAGTGAAATCACGAACACTTTCTTCTTTTGAACTGCAGTGTATAAATTCAATGTGCACCAGCACAAAGGATAGCAAGCTATGCATTCTATTCCTCTCCTCTGACTGGAACTTCTGCTGTTATTCCTGTAACATTTGGCGTATGGTAGAAATCTTGACCTTAGGATCAAAGGCAGCCCTCCAAAAGGAGTTCATTGCTGGACCACAGAAAAGGGTGCTTGCTTATCCTGAAAGTGATTTTCCTGCATTGGGAGGCAAGGGAGTGTTGGACCAAAGAGCCCAGACCTGGAAACATTGGGGGGTTGGGACTACAACTCCCAGAACACCCCAGACAGCATTTTGGAAGTTGTTGACCAAAAAGAAAGAGAAAAGAAAAATAGCTTTTCTAGGTTCCTTCTAATTCTGATTCTGTTGCTATCACTGTCTTTGTCACCGTCTCAGCTCTGGTGCCTATCACTCCTCAGAGGCCAGATTACTTACCTTCTCTATTTTCTTTCTCTCTCTTTCACCTTTACTTTCAGGCCGGATTTTAAACATCCCATGTAAGGTGTGTGGTGACCGCAGTTCCGGCAAGCACTATGGGGTTTATGCTTGTGATGGATGTTCAGGGTTTTTCAAAAGAAGCATCAGAAGAAACAGGACGTACGTCTGCAAATCTGGAAATCAGGTACCACTTACAACAGCACAATCTCCTCTGAGCCTACTGTTTCCCCTCTTTGCTATGTGCATAGTTTGTATCCCTTCTCTTTATCTTTACAACAACCCTGTGAAGCAGCTTATGCTGAATAATAGTGGCTTTTACTTCAGGTCCCTGTCTGATCAGTTTCAGTAGAACTGTGGGTGTCTGCTATGCATCTTGCCTTAGAATTGGTGCTCATGAGGATGCCCTTTGTCAGCTGATCATGTTACCTTTTGTATCATGGATTCCACAGTCCCTGAGCTAGGATGGCAACTCTCTGATTCTGCTCAGAACTTCAGTGATCCATCCAATGGAAACTGTGGAAGGAAGAATCCCACATGTTTTTATTAGAAGCCAGGCCAGACGTCCCCCCTTCCATTAGACCTTGAAAACAAATCCACCAAAGTTACACTCATCTATGGATACAAGCCTACACACTTTTAATGAGCTATCCCTCCCAGGTGGAAGATCCAGTCACCTGTACTGTATCTTGATTTAACACTGAGTCCCATAATTCAAATGCAGTTAGATTGCTCCTCAATAAATGTGCATAGGATTTCAGTTTCATTTCTGAGGAGAACCTCTGGGGAGGTAAATTGTCATATACTTTACTGTGGAGTAAAATATCCAACACTGATTGGCTCCTGAGATCAATGAGGTATGACTACAGTGCATCTACCATGATTCCCTTAAAAACAGCAAGATTCAAAAGTTCCTAATGTTTGCTAGTTCCAGGCTGTAATTTCTTTAGGATTAATTGACAGTAACTGACATATTAATGACCTGTGGTTCATGGGAACCTACATTTGTATGTAGTTAGATAAAATGAAGGTGGAAGTCTCACTAGTTTTAGTGACAGTAGTTTTCTCTTAAATAACTGTGATTGGATTTACAACAGGTAAGTCCTGGTGATGGGGGAGTTAGTTGCACATTGACATCAAGGAGATTTAGAAGGAAACACTGTTAGATTCAATAAGTCAGCAATTCCTCTATAGGACAGCATTGTGAGCAAACAGAAGCTGGAGGGGGCAGTATTTAATGAAGCATATGGTAGAATGGGCGCCAGAATCCCCAAATATTGGCCATCAAGAGCATTGCCATCATAGGCACAGAGGACTCCTGGTCGCTATGTTTCTCTTAACCTCAAACAGCCCTCCAAAGAACTAAATATTCCCATTTCATAGATGGTAAGGGGCAGGATGAGGTGGAACAGTTGAGAAGCACCCAGAGGCAGTCAAAGCTGCTCAAGAGAGAGAGTGTGGTGTCGTGGTTAGAGTGTTGGGCGGTTTGGATAGAGACCTGGGCTCAAATCCCTACTGAGCCCCAAAGCTCACTGGGCAACCTCTTACCTTTATAGGATTGTTGTGACGACAGAAAGGAGAGCAGGAGAACTAGGTAGGCTGCCTTGGCTTCATGGGAGGAAAGGTGTGGTGTGAATGTGAACGTAAATAAGTCAGTAATCAAAATTAGTCTAGGGAAAGGCAGGCTAGAAGAGCAGAAACAGAAAGCAGGCACATGCACTACACCGTCTAATGATGCCTCTCACCCAGAGGTTCCCACCTGATGAGTCCCCAGAAGCCTTTCCCGTTTGGACATGCCAGCTCATGTTTCTAGGAACTGAAGTTCAGCACATGGGGACCCAAGGTTGGCATTCACGGATAATGCAGCTAAAAGCCCAGTTTCCCTCCCTCCCCATTCCCTGCTCTTCTAAGCGTTACTATGAAATCCCAACCCAGACCTCAAAGGAGGAAGCTCTGCCAGTTCCCATCTCCCTTCTTCTCAGGTCACATCCCTTTTGCTCTCCTCATAGGCTATAAAGTCCTGGGCACAAGGTCTTAGTGGGCGACAGCCTCTGAGCCTAGAAGAGAACAAACAAGGGGAAATATTTTTTTTTTTGTGGGCTTTTAAAAATATGGCTTTGTTTTGTTTACTGCAACTCTCAGAATATCTCATGCCAGCATGGATAGGCTAGAGGCTTAACGTCTCCAGTAACAGGCACCAGCATGGAACTGGCCTGCTGCTCCTGGAAAAAAGGGTGGGAGAACCATACTGGGTGGTATATCTGGGTGTTGCATGGCATCATGATGGGCAAAGGTAATTAAAAACCCTCTTGACTCACACGCCAGTCATTTCTTCTTCCCTCCCCGCCTTCTCTTTTTCTCTCTCTCAGTTCCCACCTTCCAGCCCAGCTCCATATTGTCATCTCAATCCGCCCTATTTTTCCTTTCTCTCTCTCTCTCTCTCAAGATAATGGAACTCCCATTTTTAAAAGCAGGGCATCTTGTATTACGTGGGCTAAAGCAAAGGAGGGCTATTAATAGCCTTTATGCCCTCTTTTTTGCACTTTACAACTATATCTCTCTCCCGGAAAATTTTTCATCTCCTCCAGACCATCTCCTTGCCCCCATTATTCTGTAATCTCCAACTTCCGCTTTTTAAGTTTATTTTGCCTACACACACAACAGAAAGGAGGTCACAGAACTCATGCATGTTGAACAATTCTGTCTTGAATATGTTTATTTAAAAAACATGGGGATCTCTTTATTGCCCTCTGGTGACACTTCCCAGTTTCTGTTACCTTCTTCATGACATGGCTCTTAGCGCAATCTGTGTTAGCCTCCCTCTGCCCCATTTTCCTTTCCTTTCTTACATAACTTCCCTTCACACTAATTACATGGAAGAACATAGTACAAGTTACATTACCCTCTGCATGCAAAGGGACCGACTACAAATGTATTAATGTATGAAATAATGGCTTGAGTATTTTTTTAAACCCTGGGTGGGTGGTGTATTAGTTTATGCTAGATACATTCTTGGATGACTATAAAGGAAAACTAGAAAATTTCAGACTGAACACATCTGTGCAAGAGAATAGTAAGTCCACTACAATCCAGGTTCATTGTAATCATGACTGGTAAAAAGTTAAGCCAAGCAATTGCCATCTAACCTGCAGCAGAAGTATGTTTTACTGCTTTTAATAGGGTTGGCATCCTATTGAGTATGAGTGGTATGCCTAAATGCTCTGATTTTGGTGGTTTTAGGGATGCCTAAGTGAGTTAGATATCTGGCTACCATGCCAGAGGTTGGTAGTTTGATTCCCACTGTGCCTCTTGCGGGAAGAGCCAGCCTATGTGGCCTTGGGCAACCTGTACAGTCCCAGAAATGCCCCCAGAAGAAGAGAATGGCAAATCACTTTGTACTCTCTACCTAGAAAACCTTTAAAGAGTCTCCATAAGTCAGAACTGACTTGAGGGCATATAGTTATTGTTAAGTCTGTAGGAGCGGATTGCCAGTCTCCCACAGAGGCAACAGGTGATTAAGGCTGCGATTAAGGATCTTAAGAGCCAAATCTCATTGAATTCAATGGGGCTTTCTTCTAAATACCTCGTGCACAGGATAGGCCTGTAAGGGGAAACTCTTGCGAAGTCGGAAAGAAGCCTCATTCAACCTGAAGTGAGATGTTCTTCTAGGTAAACAGGGGCCAGGTTGCGCTGTTCGTGAGAGGCACGCTGAGAGGGCCCAGACTCTTTTGATTGACGCCTTGGAGGGGGTGGACGGCTTTGAGGTGCGTTGCTTGACAGAGCTTGGAGAAGTTGTTCATTTCCTCATCAGGGAGGGAAAGCGCGGTTCATTACGATCCAATTGCCCGATGCTTTGGAAAGATTGGTGTTCCTCCCTCAGTGTCTCTGACCTACAACGCCAGACTTGATATCTGCAAAGAAACCAGTGTCATCAGAGCGAGCCGGGAGTCCAAGAAGCGGGTAATAAATACGAGGCTTGCCTGCTCGGAAGTGCCTCTCGCTGGGTTCCATTGGGCTCCTTTCATGGGAAGTGGGCGTCGCCTCCATCTCTTCCGCTGAGGTGGGCCTTTAACTTTGGTTGGAATCTGCCCCGATGATCCGTCAGTTCCACCCAGGTCAAGCCCTCAGCTTCCTAAATGACCGGATGGATGTTCTGTCCCAAACCCTAAACACAGGTACGGTGCAGTGCGGTGCAGAGCGTAGAAAAGTTGTTTTTCTCGCCCCTGACCTGCAGCTAGACCAAAGGGTACATTTCCCCTCATCCTGTTTAAGTAGCAGCAAGTAACATCCAGTTCCGCGAGTCCTCCCAGGCAAATCGCCGTCTCTACCCTCAAAGTCTTTGTCCCTCAAGACTCTGAGGTCAAACTAGAACCACCCACGAACTTTTCGGTGCCCTCCGTCGGACTACCCCGACCCCCCCCCCCCCGGGCAGCATGGCGAAGGCGGCCGCTGATGCGAACTGTCGTCCTACTAAACGACCTGCAAGGCGTCAGGCTGAGAGAGGAGGGCTTCTGGCGGGAGGAAAGCCAGCCTCCCCGGAAACAAGGCAGCCGACGCCGACGCCCTCCTCCTGGCCTCAGAGACTTTGCGGGGCCAAAGTGACTGGGGAAGCCCCTGCCCCGCCGGCAGGAGGGCCTCGCGAGGCTCCGTCCCTTCCAGGAGAGATGCCGGCCAGGGATGCGGGGAGAGCACTGGGCTGAACCTTGTTAGTCGGTCGCCCCCCTGAGAGGTTCCTCCGAGTCAGACGCGGGCAACCAGCTGGCGAGCCTGGGGTCCGAATCAGGAACTGGGAGGAGGAGGAAGAGGAAGATAAGCTGCGATTTGTAGTCTCCGAGGGAGGCGCTTGTCCCCTTGTCACCAGTCCTTCTTCATTTCTCATGCAGCAGTAATCAAACTTAATTTCCCGCTATATTTCCTACCAGTCAAGATCCAAGAATAGATCTGGGCACCAGTTTCCTGCTTATGAGAAGTGTCCAGATATAAATGAGCTATTCGCTCCGGCCTGCTCTTAGAAGCTGAAAGATGCTGCTACATCGAACCTGTTCTAGGCCCGTTTGTCAGGCGGAGTTGAATCGAGATTCCAGCTTCGCCCGTTGCAAGACAGCTTCCGACTTAGCGTAACAGGATCTTTCAGAGTTTAAGAGCAACCTGGCAGGTATGGGCCAATAGGCCTCTTATCGCTGGATACTTTCACTGACTGTAGGGGGGGGCGCGCTGCTGCTGCTGCAATGTGTGAAGCTAGGATCAAAATTCGATTCCGCCTGAGGAAGAGGCCTGTGATATATGCATTCCTCTATTTCTGTTTCACCCTGTAAGGCAGAGTAAGAGAGAAAACGCAAAGCACCTATCTACTCAGAATACATCTGGCTGAGTTTCGTGGGATTTTCTACCGATCTAGGAGCCTAGGGTTGCAGCATTAGACGGAATTCATTGGTGGGATCTCTTTTTAACAGTCAAATGAGAATCTGAACTTACCTGGAAGCTACTCCCATATGTATCCCTGCATTAGGATCGCAGTACAGCCTTGGGAGCCAAGGAGACAAACTATTGTAACGGTCAAACCTTTCTTTGGAAGTGAATTCTGCTGAAATCAATGAGAGTTGCCTCCAGGGAAATAACATTAGGGCATAAGAGACAAAGATGCAAAAGCAAGCGTGCCACGCAATTAAGCTTAGGGGTTCTGCCATCCTTCTCTTTCCCCCCCCCCGCCCATTTATTCAACAGTGGTTGTTAGACTGACAGAGTGGGGAGGTTCAGGGTCAAATCTCCACTTATTTATGAAGGTAATGGAGTGATTTCGAGACAGCCACACTCTCTCAAACATAGTTCGCAGAATTGTTGTGAGAATAAAAATGGGGGTGAGTAAGAGTAGAGAACCATGTTTGAACCTTTAATTGCTAGGCGGAAACTAGCAATATAAACTTACATCCAGGAAACGGTGGCTCCTATTTAGCCGTATTTGCGTTTAAGGTAGAAATGAACCGCGCAGAGCGATCCAAAGAATGATTACTGGAATTCTAGTCGTTCTAAGTTCGCTGGGCCTTAGCCTCCAGCTAAAGGTGTTTAGGACTGCAGTCTTAGGTGGTCCTGTTCACACACTGGACGGGTTATCCGATACCCAAAGCGTTTGGGAGAAGCTCTTGCCCAGCCTTACTTTGAAATCATCCAACCCCTAGGCTTCCTCTGCGATCAGAACGAAGCAGTTTGCTTCTCTGGACAAATCTACCTTCTCAGAATCTTTCAGAATTGTTCTGAACAGTTCGGAAAGATTCTGAGAAGGTAGAAATTTGGACAGTTTCTAGTTTTGAAAGTTCGTCTTAATTACACATTTTAAAAAGTCAACCTGGCTCCAAGTCACGCTCCTTTGTTCTTGGTTGGCTGCGCCCGGTTGTAACTCGGAGTGACTTGGCTTTAGGCGTCGTGTGTCCGGCCTAGAGCCTGCAGGCGGGGAAAGCAGAGACCAAGTCTAGAATAGAGTGGTTCAGGTCGGGGCGACAGGGGTGCTTCGTTTCACCTCCCGTTGTGGGCTGCCTTAGTGCATTTCCACCACGGGCTCCGGAGTCTGTTTAGCCGGAGTAGCAAACAAACGGCAGATCCCCGAGTCCTAAGGGGATTTCACACAGACCAAAGAGGTGCGGGGTGTGAGCTACCGAAGGCTCCCATTTAAGGAAATGCTATGCCACGGAAAACGAGGAGCAAGGCTCTCCTGGAAGCGGCCAAGGAAATCATAGGGCGAGGAGAGAGAAAAAAACCTCCCTAGAGCAGGCTCAAGTGGTGGGGAGGGGGCGGTAGTGGGAAGAGAGGTATACCAGCACCACAGGGGTCAAGATCAGGATCTCAATATAATTAGGTCTGGCCTCCCGGCCTTTGTGGGGCAGGGAGCTGTCTGTGGTGCTGAAGAAGAGTTCGCACCTCTCTAGGATCTGGAATGTATGTGTTCTGTGCCGTCAAGTCGGAACCGACTTACAGAGACCCTAATAGGGCTTTCAAGGTGAGATATTCAAGGTTTTAACAGTTCCACTCCCTCAGTGAGTTTCCATGGCTATGTAGGGATTCAAACTCTGCTCTCAGTCCTAGTCTGCCATTCTAAACTCTACACCACACTGGAAATCCCAGGATCTAGAATAGCTTTTCCCAATTTTAGTGCCTTCCAGATATCCTGAACTACAACTCCCCCAATTTCAGGTATATGGGGTTGCACTCTATGAGATCTGCAGTCCAGGTGAGAGAAGACAGTCATAGAAAAAAAAACTGCTTGTAGTTCCTTTCTTTCTTAATGAATTTCCATAAAGCCAAAGGCCAATGCATTTAGGAAAGGGCACCAGGTCAGGTGTAAACTAGAAAGGGACTTTCATCTCGATGGGACAAAGGTATGAATATCTTAGCTAGCCTCTTCCAGAATGTTCTTGTTGAGATTCACTTTTTCTTCCTCCATTCATAAAAGAATCTCTCTGTTCCAGGGAGGCTGTCCGGTGGACAAGACACATAGGAACCAATGCAGGGCATGTCGGCTGAAGAAATGCTTGGAAGTCAACATGAATAAAGACGGTACTGGTGGCACTCTTCCATCCCCAAACCCTCATTCCCAAGAAATGGTCGAGTTACATATCCAGTGATTATGAAAACTATTGCTGAGAAAATGGGTCTCCTTTAGGACCCCTGCAAACGTCTACATTTTCCAGCATTTCTAACCTCTTGATCCTTTCAAAGCATAAATATTTTCACCTTTAAAAGGTAGTCCTTTCAATCCAAGTATATTTTGGTTTCATTCCTATGTGAGACATATTGAACTCAGTGGGACTCAGTAGGAATAGATGTGTATAGGTTGACACAAGATGGGCTGCAAGGTATGACAGTCGTAAGTGTCCAGTGACTTAAGTGGAAGGGACTTATTAGGAAACTCTCAGATGACCTGGCTTCTCAGGACTAAGAGCAACTCTTGCTGTCAAAATATTCATACACCTGGAGATTCCTGTGGATGCTAATTCAACTAATCCATTTGCATTATTATAGCCATCTACAATAACTGCTTGATTTATTAGTACCTCTCAACAGGTCTTTAAAACATCAGGTCATTCAACATCATCCTATTGCTTAATGTAGTAAGTCAGATTAGAGCAGGCCCACTAAATCATTTAGTATTTGGTGAGTCAGCTTGTCTGTAAATTCCATTGATTCAAATGGGCCTACTCTAGTTGCAGCTTACTTTAGCATAATAAATCACAACTACAGTAGGCCCATTTGGATCAATGGAACTTATGATGACTTGACTCATCAAATCCTCACTGATACATGTGTATGCTATTGCAAGCTGCAATTGGGCAATGCTGCCACATGAGGCTGTAAATCTGCTCCCCACACTCACATATTAGCTCTAGATAACACTGCACACAGGCAAACCAGGGGTGAGCAAAGTAAAGTCCTCCAGATATTGTTGGACTGCACTGTCCAGCATGCCTCAACTTTGGCTATGTTGCGTAGGGCTGATGGGAGTTGCAGTCCAACAACATCTAGATAGAGGCACATTGCCCATCCCTAAGGTAAGCTAATATATGAATCAAGGCACGGCTGCAGATCAGGAATTAATTTCAGAGCCAGGTCAAGTAGGCCAGCCCAGCTGTCCAGTTTTCTAGAGTTGTCCTGGGCTGGTCCATTCATTTTGTCTGTGATGTTTCTTTAATGTGAAAATAAAACACTATAATTATTATCAAGATAGGAAACCAACATTTCTTCCCCTTTTCTCTTCTGCTCTTTCCATTGTTTTTCCTGTATTGGTATTCCACTTTGCTTTCATCAGTTTTGGCCTCAAACGCTTTCACACCTGTCTGTATCTGTCTCTCATTTTTATGTTTAGCCCCAAATCTGTGAAGTTTGTTCTTACCTTAGGCTGTTTCAATTTTCCTGAATTCTGTGAGGCAGAGCAGGGATGAGCAGAAGATGGACAAGGATTCACTGGTAGATGTTTGGGTGATTTACAATGGATCCTTGAGGATTTCTGGCTCTGTATGTTTCAACAATAGCAGCTGCAGTATGACTGTCCCACCCCTTAAAATTATACTGCTTATATTGAGGAAACTCAACCAGGAATTGATTTCTCTGTGAAAGACTTAGGAGCCCTATTCAAGTCTGCTATTCAAATTCAAATCAGTACAATTCAAAGTTCATGTCTTTTACACCAGGTTCCAGTTAGGGGACCTTGACTTTGTACTTTATTGAAAGGGGCAGATTTCAAGTCTGAAGTTTCTGCATCCCATTGGCAGCCCATGGTCTCAGCAAGGTACACACCTCACCCCAAAATTCAAGTGAGATGCCCTCTGTTTGAAATTTGGGCCACCTTTTGTCCATCCATTGGTTAGGCACAAAACAGATACTTTTTAGCTGAGGGTCAAAGGGAATATATATTCCTTGTGATTAGCCTGTTTTCCCTTTTCCTTCCACGCATGCATGCCTCTGTTTTATCAGCTCCAAAATGAGCAGGCAATTGTGGTTGAGGTATTGCTTGGGAAATATCTCTTGCACTATAGCATCCAGAAACCCTGAGCAAGCATAGCTGATTGCCATGCTGACTCAAGGATTTTGCAAATTATAGTCTAATAACCAAACTCTTTCAAGCACTGTAAGGATAACCAGTTCTTCATCTCTTTTGGTCAAGCTGTAGCTCAAAAGCTCCAGATGCATGAAAATGGCTGATTTTCCTATGCAGTGAGCTGCAAAATTGGATCCAGCTCTACTATGTTTTCCACAGCTGAGAGACTGCAACAGCTCCTTAAGAAATCTACCATCGTTATGTGCAATCCATGAACCACACCTTTGTGACCTCTGATTAATTTTAATTGACAATTCCTATGGGTTCATCTCATAAATAATAAATTATATATATTTAAATAATGATGAGAGAACTGATGAGTTTATGAATGAATCAATTATTTTTTCAAATCTATTAAGGTTGTATTTAAATACAATATCAATTTCACTTTGTGCCTGGTAAAGTTCAGCTCTCATTCCCAAACCCACTGCAAAACATAATCTTTGTCCTTGCAGTCCCTTTGTTGCCCTAGATGGCATCTCTTCTCCAATGTTCCTGTGCCTGTCTCTTTTTCCTCTACCATTAGTACAGACCCTTCCTATTCCTCTTTGAAATTCCCCAACTACCTATCCAATTAATGGCTGAAATCCTGTTCCGTAGTGTAACAAGTTGCACTAGAACAGGCTCATTGAATCAGTGAGTCAATTCCTCCATAATTTCCATTGATTCCCTAGTTGTGACAGTAATCCTGTATGCCGAGCAACATGATTTCAGCCAAACCATGCATTAAAATTCTTCCCCTGGTTTCTTCACTCTCAAGAATTAAGACTATTTCATGGCTATTTCTACATTTCATGACATCACAGGAGGTCAGCAAATAGTGAAATACCAGTATTAATGGATGGCAGACAACAGCCTGCGTTTAGCCTGTTTTTATATACGTAGATATGATCAGAAATTTGTTACACAACTGATTCAACCCATTAGATGCTGCTGTACTTCTCAAGGCTATTTTTCTGGATCCATTTCACATGCTAACATGGCTTTTTATTGCCAGCTGTTCAACATGAAAGGGGACCAAGGACATCCACAATAAGGAAACAAGTCGCTCTGTATTTCAGAGGACACAAGGAAGACAATGGAGCCACGCCCCATTTCCCTTCAGCTGCTCTCCCTGCCCCAGCTTTCTTCACTGCTGTTACACCACTGGAAACTCATAATCTCGAACTGGCTGCCGTTTCTACAACATCAGAGAGGCAGAGCCTGGTGGGATTGGCTCAGCCAACGCCAAAGGTTAGCCCCTTTTTGCTTGAACTGATCAATGGGAGATGCAACACTGTCTTGACAAATGTCCGCGAATGTAATCAGGATACTTTGCGGTCTTGACAGAGAATGACAGCCTCCCCAAGTGGGAACCTTTTGCTCCAGACCCTTCTGCAGTGTGGATTATGCCGCAATTATTCTCCTGATAAATTAACTACCAAAATCCCTTTTTGAGAAAGTGAAATCTGTGCATAATATATCAGGGTAAATCAGGGATCTTTCAAGTTTTTGGCCCCCCCTCCACTACTACTTCCAGGGTCCCTTGCCATTGGCCTTTTTGGTGGGGGTCTTTGGATACCTAAGTCCAAAACATCTGGAGGACAATCTTCCCACCTCAAGGGGTAAATGATCACTCCACTGTGCTTGTTTGCTAGATGAACATCCAACTATGCTCTTTGGCATTTATCCCCTTGTAAAATGATGAGGGATATGGTGGCGCTGCGGGCTAAACCGCAGAAGCCTGTGCTGCAGGGTCAGAAGACCAAGCAGTCATAAGATCGAATCCATGCGACGGAGTGAGCGCCCGTCGCTTGTCCCAGCTCCCGCCAACCTAGCAGTTCGAAAGCATGCAAATGCGAGTAGATAAATAGGGACCACCTCGGTGGGAAGGTAACAGCGTTCCGTGTCTAAGTCGCACTGGCCATGTGACCACGGAAGATTGTCTTCAGACAAAACGCTGGCTCCATGGCTTGGAAACGGGGATGAGCACCGCCTCCTAGAGTCAGACACGACTGGACAAAAATTGTCAAGGGGAACCTTTACCTTTACCTTTAAAACAATTTAGGATTGCTAGCTAAATCCATGACAGATTTCCTAAACTAAGCAATAAGCCTGAAATCAGTCAGTTTCACTGCTTATAACCACAGGCTTTTATAAGTTTACCAAGAGTGGAGAATGAATGCAGTATCCAAATCTGTTCATTATATGCACATTTAGATTACTGGATTACAGTAACTGATTACAATCCAATATAGTTTATAATAATAAACAGGTTGGCAGGCATACTTCCTCTCTGAGGGCAATATGATCATGACCTGCAGTTGTTACATTTGTGCTACATTTTGGCTGAGCTTGGAAAAGTATGTTTCCCCTGCCTTGCATTTGGATTGTTTATACCTGCATGCCGAAAAACCTTTGAGTTTACCTTTGACACAATCCTTCTCAGTAAGACACCAAACAAACAGGCAATTCATGTAAGGTAGGGAATTCTCAGATCCTTGTAAGCTTATGCCTACTACTTCTGCATGTATAAATCATCTTTTTTTATTGTTATTGTTATTAGTACCCACATGAAGTGAGCGGTACTCCCATGTACCTCTATGAAGTGGCTACTGAATCTGTGTGCGAGTCTGCGGCAAGGCTTCTGTTCATGAGCATCAAGTGGGCAAAGAGTGTTCCAGCCTTTTCCACTCTCTCATTACAAGATCAGGTAAGATCTCTATATCGAATTTGGGGGCTGGAGCGGGCAGAGTTAGAAAAGATGTTTTTAAAAATGAATTGGTCGCTCTACAAAAACAAAAGTGAGAAATACGTTTATAAATAATAATAACTGTGTGCCATCAAGTCAATTCTGAGTTATGTTGACCCTTTTCAGGGTTTTCTTGGCAGGGAATACTCAGAAGTGGTTTACCATCTCCTTCTGCTTGGGGGCATCCTGGGAGTGTGCAGCTTGCCCAAGGCTACACAGGCTGGCTCTTCTGGGATGCATAGTGGGGAACTGAACTACCAGTCTCTAGCCAGATATCTAACTCACCAAGACATCCAGCCTGCTAATACCACTCTTAGACCACTAAAATCTCACTAAAAGGAAACTGTCAGGTCCCACAGGACTGTTCATCAGATCGTTCACTGCAGAGTTGGAAAAAGTGCAGGGGAAACAGAACAGTCCTCACAATCTGGGCTATTTGTACAGGCCAGACTTTCTTACTTAAAACAAGTTCTGTTGGGGCAGCAGAGTTCAGGTGTTCCCCTCAGGTCCCTCGTAATTTTGCTAGGTGAAAGAGCTTCCAGTCACTCTACACCTCCTCCCCATTGCCTTATGTCAAAGCACATGACTTCTGTTTGGCCAGGAACAGAGGCGCACAAAAAACATGGCAAACCCTGTATCAGACAAGTCTGAGAAAAAATTAGTTTACACACTAGATCAGACACGTGCTTCAATATACAGCAATGGAGGAAGGAGCTGAGTGGCTGGCAGCTCTTTTATCTACCAAGCCTAGGAAGGACAATGAGATCTACATCATCTTGAGGGAAACCTGAAGGTGAAATCAGGTGGGTAAAAGAGCTCAAATTTTGGACCACTTGTGGCCTTGTTTGGTGCAAGCTTTTTCCTCGTGGAGATCACAAAGAAACCCAAATATGCTCCATGCCGAAGCTGGACCTTTTTGGTTCAGTGTTAGGGCTAATCCTTTTTGGAGTTGGACTGGAATGATACCTGCATGGACAGAAGGATCGCTTCATGAGAGACCACTCAACAAAGGGACCCTTTCCAACTTGATCAGATGCCATCTGATTCCAGCCTCACTCTACAATGCTCCAGCCTCCATGTTGGAACTTACTTTAAACAAGAGAGCCTGATATACACTAGGCTCTTTTGTACACTTGGACTGCATCCCCCAGGATTCTCCAGAAACAAAAGTCTACAGAAAACTGAGTAACTTAAATTCTTGATCCTCCATTCCACATTACGCCAATTCAAAAATGCAGTTTGCCATTTTAAGGCGATTTTAGCCTCACTGGTTATTTTGAAGTCCCCATACTTGCCCTACCTTTAGAACTCGAAAGTGATCTGGGCACTTTAGATCTCTAAAAAGGCTTCATGTCTCAGACAGGAAGCAGAACCAGAGGGGGGTGAAATAGTCTTAAAATGGCAAAACCACACACCACGTTCATGTGCGTGGCTACCCCAAGGGAGGCTTGGAAAATGGCCACCAGGAGCTGGGCCTGATCAGTGGTAGCTGTAGCCTGACAGAACTTGCTGCCCTGCTGATGTGCACCAAGCACCCTCCGTTCCATCCTACCTTTTCCCGTAGACATCATTCAGTGGACTGCGACAACTTTCCTTTTTTTAAAAAAATATTATTAAATAAAGTAAGTGACATAGTGAAGCAGCAATGCTCACATGGTACACATAATATCACCAGTGCATCTTGTTTATCTAAAATAGTGCCACATCAATAGGAAAAAATATACTGTATTTAAAAATTTTAAAATGCTAGCATAGATGAAAACGTGTGTGTGTGGGAGGGTGTTTCTCTGTCATGCCTTTCAATGCCACAACCCACCACAGAGTTACCACATCAGATAACATTGCCCACAACTTTATTTTGGTATGAACTAACCATTTGCATAACCCTTCAAATCACACACACACACACACACACAGAGAGAGAGAGAGAGAGAGAGAGAGACAGACAGACAGACAGACAGACAGACAGACAGAGACAGAGACATATGTACCCCTAGCAGCATGCCAAAAAGGAGTGTGACAGCTGTATAAAGGGGCAGAATCCACTTTAAGTCAAAACACCCATGGACAACGTAATTTGATTTGAACAAAAAGCACCAGAAGCCATCCAGATAGTGAGCTACATATCTGTCTGGATGTGCTTTAATTTATTTTCACCAGTGACCAAGCTACATTTGGCATGAAGGAGTTGCTGGCTGGGATCCCTCACAAGGAAAGGGCAATGTCTCAGTTCTGAATCTGAAGCATGTCTCCAAATCCCACCAGGATCATCTTCCTGTCCTTGTTTTGTGTCATGTACTGAGACTTACATGTTTTCCCTGTTTTAATTTAAGTGTGTTGGCCTGTATTCCACTCTGCCTTGGTTCTGCACATTTTAGCTGTTAATATTTTAAAATGTGAAGATTGCCTTTTGTGTCATTTCTTTCTCCAAAATGCCCAAAATGTAGTCACAAATATGCACATTCTCAAGGCAAGGGGCATCAAAACTACTTTTATCAAGACTGTCAAATCCAACCAATTCCTTGGCCTCATCCTTACAACCTCTGTCTGAAGTGGATCTCTCCTCTTCTTTCCTATCTTACTGAAGAGGGTATGCTTCTCTTCTCTGCAGTCCCCAACTCCTAAGGCCCAGAGACTCGGAAGGTTTCATTTGTGGACCTCAGTCCCCAGAATCTCCCAGCCAATATGGCCAATAATTATGCAGGTTGGAGGATTCTGGGAGTTATAGTTCCAGAAGAGTAACCTTGGCAAACACGGCTCTTTTCACTGCTCTAGTCCTGCTACAACCTTTATGTAAGGCAGGGACCAGGGAGATGTGGTCCTCCAAATGTTGCTGGATTATAACTTTTATCGTGGCTAGCTAGCACAGAAATCGGCAAGAGCCGGATGGGAGCTGTGGCCCCAAAATACCATATGCTTCTGATCTCTGACTTAAGACAAGGCTCAGTTTCTTTCACTGGAGGATTATCTCCAAAAGGGCATCCCCACTGAGTGACTGCAACTTAGGAGTAAGAGCAGTAGGGAAGAGGTTTGGAGGAAGGCTTTGAAAGGAATGAGAGTCCCATCAATATACTAGGAGTGGCTTAGTGCAGATTAAAGTTATCACTGAACAGATTTCTGTAAAATAGACCTATTATCCATGTCAGGAATCAGATTATCCTGTCATTTTAAATGAACAGGCTGCATATCTAGCATTCAAAATTAAAGACAAGTTTCACGAATTGTTATGTGGAATTAATCCTCTCCCCACCCAAAAGCCCAAGGATTTCATTAACTGTGTCATTATCCTCTCTGGGTTTTAGAGACCCCTCTGTAAATTGCTAAATTTCAGCTTAGTCCAAATTCAAAACTGTGGACTTTGGTCTGCACATCTTCCTTCTATTGTTCTTTCCCTTCTATCAAACGCAAATTCTTGTTTCAATGAGCATAGCCAATAATGAAGGAGACAGCAAGAAAGATGAAGATGTTCTTAGTACCGTTACGATCATGCTATTTGCAACCCAAACGCATCCCTTGTTTCTCAGAGGCAAAGCCCGCCCGGCTGACTAAAACTTATGGTTAAACAATAATGTTTAGGACTGCAACTTTAATATTGCAATTAGTACCACAATTGCAACAACAACAATAACAACAACAACAAAGAATTGCAGTGCAAGTAATCACAACACCATCCTAGGAGAAGTAAAATAGGAGCAATGTCCTCCTGGCCACAAACACCATTAAATGAAAGCAAAAAATCAATCCGATGAGTCACTCAAAAACAATGTAAAAATTATGGAAGTCACAGGTGTTTTCAGCTCAGAACATGCAAGCGTTGCCCTTTTGGACTACAGCTTCCAGATTCTGATGGTGTGAAATGTAGTGCAAAAACTAACTTTCCCAAGTTCTGTTCAAGGAGGGCTGTCTTGTCTTGACGAGGACCAGGACAGAGAAGATACAAGCAGAGTGTCTGGGCCTGGTTATTCCCTAGAGCTTAACTTTATCACCATCTGAAGATGGGCAGAAATTTTGAGAGTTGGTGCTCCAGGTTACTGGACTCTCAATGCCAGGACCAGACAGCAGCAGTTCAAAAATAAGGGCCCTCTTGGATCAAGCCACCTCACTCATGTCCTCCCAAAGACTGAGGCCTGTGTTTTATATTCTTCCTGACCAATGGGGAGGAGGAGCAGAGCTTTATACCCAGCAGAGCAGGGCTTTTCACACATTGCTAACTGATGGCCAAATGACAGAATTACCCCTAGAAAAGATAGTCAAAGAAATTGTTTCATACAGTAGGTAGAAGCAATGCTGGGAGATGTAAAAGCTCACTTTACAGAACCAGCATTAACTGTAATTCCTTCCATTATCTGACATGCTTCAGCTTATTCTGACCTTGCAGCAAATGAGGGGAAGGGAAGGGAAGGGAAGAACACATGACCTTTTGGATCTTGTTTTTGAACTGTAGTCCCCATCAGCTCTTACCCACGTAGTCAATGGTGAAGTTTTGAGGTAGCTACAGTTCAACTTCTGGAAAGTTTTCCATTCTTTTTGTAATATGTACCACTGATCAGTACAGGACCAACAGTGCCTATATAGATCACACCAAGATTTGCAACCATGAACAGGGAGCATACTAGCAAAACACATGAAAGCAAGAAGTACGGCTACCTTAACAAATACAAACAGAGAAAGCTCTGTAGATATTCTAGTAATACCCATATGGTAGAATTTGGGTTCTAAACCCAGTCTATTTTGTTGGGCCTATGCCCTTACGTAGTTGGTTTCTGGCCTTGCAAAATAAATATGATGCTTGTTGAAGTGAACTCGAATTGAAAAGAAATTCTGCTCTATCACGCTTAGCTCTTCATGTTTAAAAGGTGGAGAAAAGAAAACACCATGGATGGGTGGCATTTGCTCAAAGTGATGCTGTGTGTATGTTTCATTCTTTGGAGTGCAAGATTTTTATGTATTCTTTGCTCAGTGTCCTATATATGAAGCTACAACTTCAAAATAGCACCCCTCAAAATGCAGACTCATTTTTTAAAAAGTATCTATGGATGCTCATATATTTTTGATCAAAATGAAAAACGGATAACTAAAATATTCCAAACTGAAGCAGGATGAGGAAACAGTTCGGGCATTTAAAAGACATTTTTCAAAGGACAGAAATTTACGTATTGAAATTGTTTATCTATAAATTATACACCATGTTACATTGTACCTCTATTGTATCACAGCTGATGCTTTTGGAAGATGCTTGGAGGGAACTGTTTGTTCTAGGAATAGCACAATGGGCCATTCCAGTTGATGCTAACACTCTACTGGCTGTATCGGGTAAGAATTGCACAATTTAATGACTTTGTTATAGAAATTACCATAAAAATACATTACTGAAAAAGGACAACATGTAAAGAATAACAAATCCATTCTAAACAATAGAGTATACCTGTCATTTATAAATCTATATTTAAATGCAAATAGTGTTGTTTTGTTGCATTCATGACTGCTTGCATTGTCATTTAAATGCAAATTACTGTGTTTGTTACTATCCAAGAGAAGATTTCATACTAACTTTCCTACAATATAGTCAGTTTTTTATTGAAGTGGATCTCGGAAAGTAACAATTGAATAGCTGTTGATACATGTGATTTTTATTTTATTTTTTAAAAGAACCATCAAATATTTCTCATTACTTATTAGTGTATATATTTCACATGTTTGCGTTCTAGGCATGAATGGTGACAACACAGATTCTCAAAAGCTGAATAAGATTATCTCAGAAATACAGGCGTTACAGGAGGTTGTGGCTAGATTTAGACAGCTTCGGTTAGATGCTACAGAATTTGCCTGCCTCAAATGCATCGTCACTTTTAAAGCTGGTAAGAGGAACATAAAGAAGACCAATCTTAACCAGACGTTGGAGCACTTGCATTCATTGCCTTCCCTTGTTCTACCCATACCATAGCCCCTAACCTCCTTTTCCCGTCCCTGACATTGGACATCTGACCTTCGAGAGTTGAAGGCTCCAGAATCAGTTCTTATTTCCAGTCTTGAAACAAGATTTCTGATTCAACCCAAGGACAATAGGATTGCAATGCTACCAGGTGCAGCATCCATAAGCTGTGCAGTTAGCCAGCATTTTATATGCAGTACCAGATTGCATCAAATATCATAGTTTAATTATTATGCTATGTATGCTGTGGAACAGATCCTCTTCTCAGCTGGGACGGCAAAAAATATTCCAGTGGAAAAAAAAATATCATAAACACCACCTGGTTCTCTTTTTTCCCCTCCCACAGGCTGGATGCAGTTTTGCATCCACTGGGGAAGACTTCTGTTGTCTTAGGTAGAAGCGCAACCGTTTCTAACCCTCCAATTCTCAGTAAGTCTGTGGACTATTCTGAGTAAAATATATCACCAGTGTATCACCTGATGAGACCCATTTCTTTGTTTATCGCATCCCATCCTAAAACAGAAAAAAGGGTCATAAAAATCCAGCCTCCCCCTCTCCCGGCTTTTCACTGTCATGTCTGATGAAGATGTGTTTTTGAAAGTTTGCATGGCCCGATAAAGATATCACCTTTGTGTGGGTCAAAAATCTACAGAATTCAAGTCATTTCCCCTTGCCCAAGAGCCCTTCCTGTGTTCTCAGTTGTGAAGGAATTTAGTACCTTGGTCTCTTGGTCAGGAGGAACAGTTTTGTATTGTAATCAGCATCCGAAAGTGACCCATACCTTTCTACATATTCTGGGTTTTCCTTTCCTTCCTTACAGAATAATAGGTGTTCCCTCATGGCCCATTGTGAACACTACAATTAATCAAGAAGGTCCACATTAATTTTAAGGCTTCTCCCTTCAAAACACCATATTTGGAGATCCTAAGGATGGAAAGGATTTTTGAGTGTAGATTCTTTTAAAGATATATGTGTTCACATCCTTTTAATATTATATAAACTCTAATCCAGAGCCTATTGGGAGCATCATGCTTCCATTTGGAGCAGCCCTTAAACAAGCAACTTCCATATTGCCTTCAATTTCGACTGAAAGGTGTTGGTTAATTTGTTTGTTTGTGTTCTTTCTTCATCTATCTAGTTAAAATATTTTTACCCCACTTAAAAAAAAAGAACCCAAGCTTTTATCAAAAGCTGTTACCCACTGGGAACTTTCTGGATGAGGTAGTTTGTTAGTAAACCCCAATGGCAGAATGCCGTAATCTGAGTTTCTGCAATCCAGCACCATCTAAATGTGTTGGGCTACAAATCCCATAATCCCGGATGGTTGTGGGATTGTGAAGGTTGCAGACAAAAGGCACTAGCAGGCACAAGGGGGCAGCTGCTGTGAGAAGGTAAACTGGAATGCTTCTTGCACCATAGGCAGCTAACTGTTAGATTGTTAGACCATGTAATTGTGATGCAGTGATGACGTTTATGCTGACTGGACTTTTCTGATGCTCAATGAGTGAAGGATGGCCTCTCTGCTTTGCAGTACCTACGCATAGCGGTTCTGAACTCAGAAATTTTAGAAATGCTGCTGCCATTGCAGCTCTTCAAGATGAAGCTCAGCTCACCCTGAACAGCTACATTCATACTAGGTGAGGATGCTAGCACTGAAGATTTCCCCCCCGAAACTCCAATTTTCCTGCCGTAAGTCTTTTCATTCCCTGCTGTAAGCTAATTCATTCTCAGTCACATAAATTAAGAAGCCTCTGCAGATGAAAGGAAGAAACAGAAATGAAGGGCAACACACTTAAAGTGAAGGCCTGATGAAGAACAAGGGTAGGAAACTTGAGAAGTCCCACTCAGTGTGCCCAAGGATAATGGGAGTTGTAGTCCAAGACATCTGGCTAGCCGCAGGTTCTCCACATGACACAGTGGGTTGGAATCAGGATTGCTCTCTGCTAAACAAAGGTGCACCCGCCTGATCTTGGGTGAGTGGGGGCTCTTTTGCTCACTGCATCACAGCTCCATCTATTCTGCATCCATCCAGTTTGGTTTTGTTTTTTGCTTTTTTAAATAGAAGCATTTCTTTTCGATATTCTATTGGAATAATAGCCCTTCAGAGCCATGTGGGCTTTCTGTCCTCTGCTTTGTAATATTTGATTAAAGACACAATAGCTTAACTCCATCTGTTAGTCTCAACCAGAGGAGACCCACTGAATAGTGAATCTAAATATAATATACGTAATATAAATCTCATTGATTTAATGAGTATACTCTGAGAAAACAAATTGGACCTGAGTCATTGTTTCTGCTTTTAACCTCACTGGATACTGGAAGGCATTTCTATATAATCCAGTTGTTTAGAATTCAATTATTGGGAATTTGAGGGGACAGAAGATGCATAATTTAAGAGCATGTTCAATCCAAAGTATGCTCTGATAGATCCCATTAATTTCAAATATAAATGCTTCATAAGCTGAATAAAGATCTGCCTCAGTGCACTCCTGACACCAAAGGTTATCATCCTGCCACCCCCAATGTTCTTGGATTTCTAAGCATTATCAATGATCAAAGATTCTCAGAATTTTAGCCCCAAAGCCCCTGGGGAACCCAAGTTTAAGAACCACTGTATTACAGCAGAGATGGATAGAGGATAAACAGGGTGCTTCCCATAGAACTTTGTGTGATCTAGGTCAGATTGCAAGAGTTTCCAATTCCCAGCTGTTCAGCAATAAAAAGGGTAAAGGGGGAAACCAGGAGTGGGCCTGAGGGGAAAACACTATGGGCTCAGTTCTGGTACTGAAATAAAATTCCCGGGCTATGCTCAACTTGCACAAGTTCCTTGATTCTTAAGAATGCATCCACACCCTTGGACCCCATTGTATAGTTCAGTGGTTCTTAACCTTGGGTTACTCAGGTGTTTTTGGACTGCAACTCCCAGAAGCCTTCACCACCAGCTGTGCTGGCTGGGGTTTCTGGGAGTTGCATTTCAAAAACACCTCATTAACCCAAGGTTAAGAACCACTGGTATAGCTGGCTCTTGGTAGGGTTCTGGTAGAAATATTGAAGTAAATCCTATAGGTATGAAGTCTGTCTGTCTCCCACTCCAGCACACCATAATGAGTCTGGATTAAGTGATCAGTTGCAGTGCCACTGTTATTATAAGCACTACTTTTATAACTTCCTGTTTGCCTTCTAGGTATCCCACACAACCCTGTCGTTTTGGAAAGCTCTTGTTGCTTTTGCCAGCTTTACGTTCCATTAGCCCTTCTACGATAGAAGAAGTCTTTTTCAAAAAAACCATCGGGAATGTGCCAATTACAAGACTGCTTTCAGATATGTATAAATCCAGTGACATATAGACAAACTTGGGGGAAGCATAAAAGGAAAAAGGATTGGGATGGCCATTCTGGAGGAACTTTTTAATCAGCAGAGAACAAGCTTTAGCTCACCCAGCGTACAAGGAGCTGAAACTGGAAGCGTTTAACCTATTGACAATATAAACCCAGTAAGGCACAAATCTGTGATTTTGGACAAAGCAACTTAAGACTTTGGAAGAAATACTGTGCTCCACAAATGGCCGTGGTCTGAACTTGGCAGCCGCTTCTCCTGTAGCAATTTGGTGGAGCTAATTCAGTTGTCATTCATAGTTAACAAAGGCTGTGCTAGTCTGCTGTTTAGCTGGCAGATATGATGGGATGAAGAAAGTACATTAGGGTTTGTTTGTTTGTTTGTTTTCATACTTTGAAAAATTGGGTAACCAAACGTTGTTCTGTTGTAATGTGTCATGAGGTGGCCTTCAGAAATGTATTTTTTTTCTTTTAATGTTGTTTGCTGAATTCTTTTTATATGAGAGTTGACACTGAATACCAGGTTATCCAAACATTTACTTCAATTGTAAAATAGAAGGTAAACTGGAATGCTTCTTGCACCATAGGCAGCTAACTGTTAGATTGTTAGACCATGTAATTGTGATGCAGTGATGACGTTTATGCTGACTGGACTTTTCTGATGCTCAATGAGTGAAGGATGGCCTCTCTGCTTTGCAGTACCTACGCATAGCGGTTCTGAACTCAGAAATTTTAGAAATGCTGCTGCCATTGCAGCTCTTCAAGATGAAGCTCAGCTCACCCTGAACAGCTACATTCATACTAGGTGAGGATGCTAGCACTGAAGATTTCCCCCCCGAAACTCCAATTTTCCTGCCGTAAGTCTTTTCATTCCCTGCTGTAAGCTAATTCATTCTCAGTCACATAAATTAAGAAGCCTCTGCAGATGAAAGGAAGAAACAGAAATGAAGGGCAACACACTTAAAGTGAAGGCCTGATGAAGAACAAGGGTAGGAAACTTGAGAAGTCCCACTCAGTGTGCCCAAGGATAATGGGAGTTGTAGTCCAAGACATCTGGCTAGCCGCAGGTTCTCCACATGACACAGTGGGTTGGAATCAGGATTGCTCTCTGCTAAACAAAGGTGCACCCGCCTGATCTTGGGTGAGTGGGGGCTCTTTTGCTCACTGCATCACAGCTCCATCTATTCTGCATCCATCCAGTTTGGTTTTGTTTTTTGCTTTTTTAAATAGAAGCATTTCTTTTCGATATTCTATTGGAATAATAGCCCTTCAGAGCCATGTGGGCTTTCTGTCCTCTGCTTTGTAATATTTGATTAAAGACACAATAGCTTAACTCCATCTGTTAGTCTCAACCAGAGGAGACCCACTGAATAGTGAATCTAAATATAATATACGTAATATAAATCTCATTGATTTAATGAGTATACTCTGAGAAAACAAATTGGACCTGAGTCATTGTTTCTGCTTTTAACCTCACTGGACACTGGAAGGCATTTCTATATAATCCAGTTGTTTAGAATTCAATTATTGGGAATTTGAGGGGACAGAAGATGCATAATTTAAGAGCATGTTCAATCCAAAGTATGCTCTGATAGATCCCATTAATTTCAAATATAAATGCTTCATAAGCTGAATAAAGATCTGCCTCAGTGCACTCCTGACACCAAAGGTTATCATCCTGCCACCCCCAATGTTCTTGGATTTCTAAGCATTATCAATGATCAAAGATTCTCAGAATTTTAGCCCCAAAGCCCCTGGGGAACCCAAGTTTAAGAACCACTGTATTACAGCAGAGATGGATAGAGGATAAACAGGGTGCTTCCCATAGAACTTTGTGTGATCTAGGTCAGATTGCAAGAGTTTCCAATTCCCAGCTGTTCAGCAATAAAAAGGGTAAAGGGGGAAACCAGGAGTGGGCCTGAGGGGAAAACACTATGGGCTCAGTTCTGGTACTGAAATAAAATTCCCGGGCTATGCTCAACTTGCACAAGTTCCTTGATTCTTAAGAATGCATCCACACCCTTGGACCCCATTGTATAGTTCAGTGGTTCTTAACCTTGGGTTACTCAGGTGTTTTTGGACTGCAACTCCCAGAAGCCTTCACCACCAGCTGTGCTGGCTGGGGTTTCTGGGAGTTGCAGTTCAAAAACACCTCATTAACCCAAGGTTAAGAACCACTGGTATAGCTGGCTCTTGGTAGGGTTCTGGTAGAAATATTGAAGTAAATCCTATAGGTATGAAGTCTGTCTGTCTCCCACTCCAGCACACCATAATGAGTCTGGATTAAGTGATCAGTTGCAGTGCCACTGTTATTATAAGCACTACTTTTATAACTTCCTGTTTGCCTTCTAGGTATCCCACACAACCCTGTCGTTTTGGAAAGCTCTTGTTGCTTTTGCCAGCTTTACGTTCCATTAGCCCTTCTACGATAGAAGAAGTCTTTTTCAAAAAAACCATCGGGAATGTGCCAATTACAAGACTGCTTTCAGATATGTATAAATCCAGTGACATATAGACAAACTTGGGGGAAGCATAAAAGAAAAAAGGATTGGGATGGCCATTCTGGAGGAACTTTTTAATCAGCAGAGAACAAGCTTTAGCTCACCCAGCGTACAAGGAGCTGAAACTGGAAGCGTTTAACCTATTGACAATATAAACCCAGTAAGGCACAAATCTGTGATTTTGGACAAAGCAACTTAAGACTTTGGAAGAAATACTGTGCTCCACAAATGGCCGTGGTCTGAACTTGGCAGCCGCTTCTCCTGTAGCAATTTGGTGGAGCTAATTCAGTTGTCATTCATAGTTAACAAAGGCTGTGCTAGTCTGCTGTTTAGCTGGCAGATATGATGGGATGAAGAAAGTACATTAGGGTTTGTTTGTTTGTTTGTTTTCATACTTTGAAAAATTGGGTAACCAAACGTTGTTCTGTTGTAATGTGTCATGAGGTGGCCTTCAGAAATGTATTTTTTTTCTTTTAATGTTGTTTGCTGAATTCTTTTTATATGAGAGTTGACACTGAATACCAGGTTATCCAAATATTTACTTCAATTGTAAAATATAATAAGTGCCCTTGGATTTTAAAAAAGTGGTTATTTTGGCAAATACATTTTAGATTCAATAGGCCAAGTCTCCTTTTTTTTTTAAAAAAAAAAAGGTGGACTTATGCCTAAGTCTTGCGAACATTTCAATTCCGTTTGACATCTCAGACAGAAGAGCTTTAAAAAACAATTTTTTAAAAAAATGCACATTAAATGAAGACTGAACAGCAAAACCAAATAAGAAGCAGACAGGATTGATATAGTAGAACTGATTGCTGTCCCACAGGCATAGTGCTGAAACCAAAGGCAACGGTGGCCAAACTCTTTGTCAATGAGATGTATAAGAAGGTACCTAACTTACAGTAAAAAGTCTGAAACACTCTAAGCAAGATGGAAAGGATGGTTGATCAATACAACCCTAATGGTCTTTGAGATTCTAGTGGCTTTTTAGAAAATTCCAGATTTCAATAAAAGCCTTGCTCTCTTGAATACCTTCCCGTCCACCCCACAAAAATATGTATTATAAGCTGCTTAATTTGGTGAGAATATACTTATGGAAAACTTAGGAAAAATTAAAAAATAACTACTGTACTTTTTAAGTTTTTATTTTAGAAACTAGCACTGAAGAAGGAGAAAGCACTTGGAAGTATCATAGAATGAGTAAAACTTCTCTTGTACAAAAGTGGATTAACTGATTTGTGAAGTTAAGGTTGTACTCATTGTATTTACAAAGAATAAAAAATATATTACATTTAAAATGCTATGAGTTTTGATTAACTATTACTACCCACCAATGCTGTCAGTGCCTAGCAATGTAAGTCCTTCAAACAAAACATAACATGACCACTTACAGCTCTTTAATCTCCTAAAAAGCATGCTAAAATGTGTGCACAAATGGTTTTTCAAACCAGGATTCTGCACTACAGTAACTTGCAACAACTCTTTTATCCAAAGGAAAGGCCTTCCATTTAGAATCCAGCGAGACCTCCTTGTTCCCTCTCAAACTGGTGGACAATCAGTTAATCAAATAAGAGAAACTTTGGATAAAAATTGGCTCTGAATTAACTTTGCTGATGTTCTGCCAGAATCAACCTGAGTGAGAATTTTATCCCACCTGATAAACCTGACTTCCTAATGTTTCCTATATATGCAGTTCAATTCTCTCCCAGCTGCAAATATGGAAACCTTCTGTGTGCAGTAACCCATTTTATAGGATAAAGATGCAAGAAATCCAAAGTGGTAGAAATAGTGTTCCACACTTGCGTCCAAGGTTTTAAGGCTTCTATTCTTGAACATACTAGAGTAGTATTTGTTGCAAGACCAGAGTAAGGAAAAAGGAGCAACCTCATGAAAGAGCATCTTAGGTACATGTAAGAGTTCTCTGAATCCTAGAGTCAGAGAAGAAAATTCAGTGTGCCACTTTCCCACAATTTCCATCAGGAAGGCCATTGCTCAGTAGCTTGCCAACTTTGAGCTCCAGAAGATCCAGCTGAAACTCTGTCAATCTCTTCAGTTCAATGTATACAGTGTTCAGTTAGAAGTACCAATGTCCTAATTTGGCTTAACACCCTTCCTAAAGTAAATGCAATCTAATAGATTTTTTTGTCCATTCAGATTGTATTTTCAGATAACTGGCAAGCCAGTAAATTTATCATAATTCAAGGCTTGGTGGAGTTGTGCTGTTAAAAAAGAAAAGAAGCATCATCTTGTGGATTTTACCAAGATGGGGAAAGCCGAAAAGCAATCCACAGGCGCATGCTAGGTAAGGTAAGCAACAGGTAAAACGGACACTGGAGCAACCATAAATATTGACATTCTGAAATACCTGAGCATCTTTAGATAGGAGTATCCATATTTAGAACCTGAGTGGTGGGAGGGCCCAATGTTGGGCAGAGCAGTAAGTTTGGTTAAGAGCAGTTTGTTAAGGTCCTTAAGAAACTATAAGAACTTGTGCCCACTGAGGCGGCTAATTCAGACTAGTAGAAGTTGCAAAACCACTCTCTACAACGTTCAAGTTATTCATGGAGCTAGTTTTCTAGAACAGGACCAAAAGACCAGCGATTCTCCAGGTACTCCTACAGAGTATCAGCCCTCATATTTTACTATTCACTGTATTAGCTAGGGTGGATGAGAACTGACATTCCACACCTGGAGGGCTACATTTCTCCCATCCATTCTAGAGCATTTGAGAGAGGGCCTCCAGTAGTACTTCTATTTGTAAGCCATGATCTTGCCTTTCCTATCATTTCAACAAATTGGTGGTGGTGGGGGGAATGGCAGTATAGACATCTAGAGGAGCATCTGCTATTGAGTGAAGTTATGGTTGGGACTATGGTCTACACAAAAAAATATGTGAATATCATCTTTAGAAAATATCAACAATCTTTTATTTATTCAAACTCCTCAAGCATATTTATTATTTGTTGAATATTCTGTAAATTTAGAGAAGCATTTCGGCTCTGCTAGAATGGTTCCTTCTAGAAACACTGTCCTTCTAGAACAATGTTTCCCAACCTGGGGGGTCACAGAGTGTGTCCTGGGGGATCGGAGGTTGCCTTATATGTGGCATAGTCCTTCTTAAATAATTTCTTCCTTGACCTTTCAGAGCCAGATACAGTGGTGCCTCGCTTAGCGATTGCCTTGTTTAACAATGTATTCGCTTAGCGATGAGGCTTTTGGAGCGATCTTGCGCTCCATTTAGCAATGTTTCCAATGGGGAAATTTCGCATAACGATGTTCGGGACCTTGCTTCGCTAAGCGATGACAGTTTAGGTCCCCCTGTTTCGCTTAGCGATGTCCGTTTTCGCTATTTTAAATGTGTCTTAAAATGTTCAAAAACTGTTTAAAATGCTTGGAATCGTTAGTGCACCCTGTAAAACCTTTGCAAACTTAATTTGGCTTTGTTCTGAGTCTTCGTTAATTTTT